CACAGCAGCACAGCAGCACAGCACCACCACCCACCCCCCAGTATCAGCAACCGCAATAACATTTTTGATATTTTGTATTTATGGCAAACTTTTGCCGGACTTTGGCTTCGAGTGGCATCGCAGGAATGTGCCTGGTGACAACTGCAGACCCGACCCGGAGACTGTTTGCCCAAGTGCTAAATGGAAACTTCCTCCAGCAAATTAACAGCCCAGAGACGGACCATTCCAAAGGGGATAGGCAGGGGGAGGAGGAGGAGGAGGAGGCATGAGGGATGAGGACCACCAGAGTGGAATATTTCTCTTGTCGGTTGTGGATTTTTCTCTTCTCTTCTTCGTTTTTTTTTTTGTTTTTTGCATCTCGCGGATGCTTACATCTCGAAATCAATCAACTCAAGTGTCGCTGCATTTATGGACGTGACTGTGTCTGTGTGTGGTCCACTATCAAAGGGCGCGCCGACCCCCAACCCCAGGCCCAAAATGCATTTGTTGTAAGTGGCCGTGTCTATGGGCCGCCGCCACTGCCCCTTCCATCCATCCATTCCAGCGTCCACCTCGCACACAGGTGAAATTTACCACTTCAATGGCTAAAAACAACATTTGAATGCGACAGTCGACAGTCGACAACGGCTACAACGGATGTTCGGCTCTAATGTGTGCAAACAGTGAAACCAAACGAACGACCGACCGACAGAGCAGATCGCTTCAGTTTGGATCGGATCGGATCGGATGGGATCGTATGGAAATATTACCTGTGGATAGTACCTGGCACCAATGAGTCGGCAACGTCATATCGCAGCGCATATGCATATGGATGTAGATGTAGATGGTGCTGGCAATCGTCGGGGCTCTTTTTGCGCCTTGGAGTTTTGCCGCTCTGTCAATATTTTGCTTATGTTTGAAAGCCACCATCACGATGATTACCTGTTCGATGGCGAAAAGAGACCCGAACGAAAACGAAAAGAAAACCCCGCTTAACCCTAAACCAATGCGATGTGCAACGCTGTGGTAGGTGCTCTCAAGTGGCCAAGTCGGGGAGACACTTTTCTCTGGTCTCCGTCAAGTGTCGGGTCGGGTCGGGCCGGTCGGTTGGTCGATTGGTCGGTCGCAGCTTTGAAGTGCAGCGATCTCCAAAAAGTTGTTGCTCTCTCAAGTGTCCGTATGTGACAGGGTCATTACGTTACGGCCCTTTCTATCATCATCATCCTCATGGCAGTCAGGAGACTCGAACGTCAAATGCCTTGGGGGAAGCCACCAACTAATTAGCTGCAAATGTTCTGCAATTAAAAAAGAGCTTCGAAAATTTCCATGCCAGTTGAAGTGGTAGTCAGTGGGGTGACGATGTCTTTCCACTTGATTCTTGGACTTGAAATCAATTTCAAATGGGGCAAACAAGTGGAAAAGGAACTGCTGATAAATAACTTGTTAAGAAGTGAGGCCTCGGTTTCACTCGTTCCTCAGAAATTCATTTGATTTTGACAGATAGCGATGCAAATTGTTTACTTCCTTTGGATGGGTTAATTTGCGACTAAAGGAAAGATTTCAGATTTAAATAAGGCAAGAAACACCCTGACGAGGCACATCAGGCTTCCGAAATAACCGAAATAAATAAACCTTAAAGTAGGGACAGTATATAAATAATTGATTCTCTTATAATACATCTCCAAAATTAATTTATATAATTTTTCAGTTTAATTTCAATTTCAATTTAAGAACTGGCGAATTCAAGGGAATCATTTGGCAATGCCTGAGCAAGCATTTAGCGAGTCCAGCGATTGCCCAAAAAATGAGCAGCTGAATAATTCCGAAATGATTACATGGATTCTGTGATTAACACCTGGCCAAAAAAAAGTTGGCACATCTCGAGAGATGAAAGACGGCCCTAAATCGTCAGCCAGTGAGAAACATCGAGAGATATATTTGGCTGCTTCTCCGTCTGTATCTATGTGTGTATATCTGCATCTGTGTGTGTGTGTGTGTATAGGTATTTTGCACTTGTATCGGATTATGAGCAACAAACATTTTCGGCCATGTTTGTTTACTTTGCTCCGCCTCGAATGTGCGTCTGTGTGTGCCTGTGTGTTTGCGTGTCTCTCTCTTGCATCTCTATGCCCGCAGCTAGGTGTCTGTGTGCGTGCCTGCCTGCTTGCTCATCTGTATCTGTGTCTGTGTGTATCTGTATCTCAGTCGCTCTTGCGCATGTCTTATGCGCAGGCCGTGCGAAGAGTTCAGTTGCGTTCCCCTTGAAGTTGCTCGAGTGGCAAGGCCAACTGTTGGAGCGACCCTCGCAGAGCGCCATTTTCGCTGTGGCAGAAATTAACGAAAATCAATTTCTCAGCAAATATATCTCGATTTACATACATACATGTTTGTATATGTATATATTTTGGCTAGCAGGTATGATTTTATGGATGTGCCAGCGAAATTAAGATGCGACCAAGTCAAATAAAATACTTGGCTAGGTTAGTGGAGTTAAATTAATTTACGCAAAGCAGGCGGAGAACTATCATTGGACTATATAGGAGAGGGGTGGGGAGGGGGAGGATATCTTTATGGGTTATCTTCATAAAAACTGACGAGCAGCTGCCAGCTGGAACATGTTCAACTTTAATCAAAGGAAGTCTGACTCAAAATAAATATGCAATAAAATGGATGATGCAGATAACTCTGGTTCAGGGCTCCTCAGGCTATCCTTGTGGGATTACATTCATTATACAATATATTCCTATCTCTCCTTAAATGTTCAGCCAGCTGAAATTTAAAGCAAAGAAAGTTGCACGCACTTAAGCCCCCACTCGGTGCTTCCTCCCGGCTGCTGAGGGTTTGGGGCGCCTGCACCCAGGATCCTAATTACATTTTACTAGATAAATTGTAAACTTTTTCTGTGCACGGTGCTGCTGCTGCTGCTGCCCCCAGCTCCAGCTCTCCTGCCACTGCCACTACCATTGCAGCAGCAGCAGCAGCAGCAGCTTCTTCCAACAGTTATATTTTGTTTGAGTTCTCTGCATCGCTGGCGTCGTCTTGCGCTGCAAAGTAAACAGTCAAGAGGCGGCAGTAGAGTAGGGGAACGGCTGCTGGGCCTGGGCTGGCTGCCTCCCCGTGGCACAGACCCGAGAGGACACCCTGTATGTACGTGCTGGTTACGTTTGTAAGCGTATTTCCGGCAACGGATGTCTGCCACAGCAACGGCAGCACCAAATGTTGGCTCCGGCCAAACCAGCCCGGATCGTCCTCAGCTCGAAGGTCCTCCGCTCTTCGGCACTGCCCCTCGACTCTGCTCCTCGACTCTGCTCTGCTCAGCTCCTGGCGAAAGTCAGTCAGTGCCGGTTACACATTCTCAAAAGTGCTTGGCACTGCCGACGAAGCACGCCTGCCATTAGTGGTACTCATGGGTGGCATGGGCATGGGGCATGGTGCATGGCATGTGTGGGTGGCTTAGTTATGGCGGATGGGCAAGGGGAAGGGGGAGGGGAGTCGGGTTCTGTATCTGCTTCAGTTCCTGGCCAGCTACTGTTGCACTTCAACTTAGCGTGCGTCTATCTCTCTCTCTCTATCTCTCTCTCTCTCTCTCTCTGTGTGTGTGTTTGTGTGGGTGTGTGTGTGTGTGTGTGTGTAGTTTTGTGCAAATATTTGCATCTGGAATATTTGCGCGCTCCATCATAATTCAAACACAGATGCGCTGTTTGCAGAAGAGCAATCATTTTGACATGCAACTCGCTTCAAAACCGAATTAAGTGGCATTCAGCGTCAGTCACGAGAAGGGCCCGAGCCGAGTGTGCTCTGCTCCCCATGCTCCCCCGCTCCCCCGCTTCGCTCGTCGAATGTATCAAAACTAGCTGGCAGCTGAAGTTGAAGCCCTTGGCAGTGATTGGCACTCACGCAGCAGCTTATAAGGGCAATTTATAAAGAAGAGAAAGTAATTGATGGTTGTTTAGGAAATACAATTTAAAAAGCCCGCCTACAGTGTTGGCTGCGCAGCAAATTGATCGCTTAATGGATCGCGCTATCGTTCATCGCTAGATCATTTAATATTAAACAAATTGCATCCCTAGGACAAGTGGCGCCAGCTAGGTGTGGAACAAATTTAAATTGCACACTGTCCATCTAGCGTACACGTGATGGTTCAAGGTTTCGCTAAGCCGGCTCTCATCTAATACATAAACCAAGTTTTCTTCTTCTTCATATTTGACGAGGTTTTTTTCTTCTTCTTCTTCCTTTTTGACGAGTTTTTTTGGCCTGTTAGATATGATTTCGCCTTATGTTATGTTAAGTTTTCGACCTTATGTTATGTTATGTTTTCGAACTTATGTTATGTTAAGTTTTCGCCCTTATGTTATGTTAGATTTAAATATACGAAACATGTATTTCAACGCAAGGTTTTATTAGTCAATAGTTAAGGACATAGTCAAGTAGTCAACTCCCCCTCGGTTGTCTTCAAATGCTCCTCGTACTGCTCCTGCGTCAGCAACTTCTCCTTGATCAAGTCGCAGTTCTCAATTTTGGGCAGAAGAATGGCAACGTAGCCGGCACCCTCGGGCAGCTGCTCCAGCAGCTTGGGCTCTGCAACCAGAGCAGCGTTGACCTCCACCAGCTTGCCGCGTATGCAGCTAGGTATCTTGTAGGTCTGTCCCGTCTTCGTGGTGAGCAGCGCCAGCGTAGAGTCCGCCTGCAGGATCATGCCGCCCTTCTTGGCCTTGCCCTTGACCACATTCTGGCTGCGATCCACGTTCCCCACATCGAAGCTGAGCGTGGCTATGCCTTGCTCAAGTGCGGGATGTGTGGGCGCCAGGCAGATTAGGCAGATGCGGTTCGAGTGGTACAGCACCTGGTAGGCGGCGTTGGCTCGGATGTAGTAGTAGCGCGTGAAGAAGCGATCCACGACACTGGGATAGTTGGCGTCGAAGCCATCTGTGATGGGGCTCACCGGCTGGCCGCAAATGCGCTGCTGCTCCTCATGCTCGAAGTAGAAGGACTCCAAGGGGTCCAAGGTGGCTGCCATTCTGCTATTCGGTCTGTCCGTGCAGCAGTCTCTCCTTGTATCTGGCTTGCTGCTCACGGGCCTTGGCTCGGTTGGCGGCGGAGCGGGCAACGCGTTCGCCCTTCAGGCACTTGACCACCTTGTCGTCGATGGAATTACAGATTCCAACAAATCGGCCGAAAGCGTTCTGTGGGCAAGCAGGAAAAGGATTAATTAAAGATTGACTGTGGCCTCTTGTGTACTTACATTGTCGTGGCAAGCTTGCAGCTCTTCAATTAGTTTGTTGCAGGCCGGCGTGTGCAAATGGGAAGCTAGGTCCGTATGCATTTTCAACTGTAGACAGATGAGAATTATTTCCAGAGCCAGGTGTTATGTGACCTTAGCCTTAACACTTAACCTACTAGGACCCTCGATTTTTAAACAGGCGAACAACTCGAGTTAAATAGCGAAAATTATTACTGTTTTTATATTTTCCTTGTAGATTCATACTTTCCCTTTACATACATAAAACAATATCCTCGATATCCTTCACCAGAACTGCGCTAAAATTCTATTAGTTTCATGCGTAAGTTTAAGAACCCACTAGTCGACAATAGGTTAAGCGTTCTTTACCCCTGATCGGAAATCATATTCGCGATTTTGATATTCGTGTAAATATTATTAGCCAGCTAGGAATCGCAGCACCTAAATTATAATTTTATCCGATAGATGAACTAATTTTCTACAAGATTTGCTCATTTTAAGGACTCTTTTCTTTGTACTGTTTTTAATACAAGGTTTTGACGGTCACGATGATTGAGAAGATGTGGAATAATGCTGGAAAATGGCCAAGTGTGGCAGCCCTGCGAAAGCAGCTGTTGCGGTACAATGCAAATTTAGGCAAATAAAAAATGCAATTGTTTATTTTTTGGCTGAATCTGATTGATTAATAGACAATTAATTCACCATGCCTATCATGTACAATACGGGCGAGTGGTTCAAGGTGCGGCCAGACTACTACAGGTAAGTGCTGCCTCTTCGAAGATTCAATTGATTTATGTGTACGCCCCCGCAACAGAAAAGTGGAGCTGGCGACGCCCGACTGGCCGCTGGATCTAGACCTGGAGTACATGCAGGTGGCGGCGGCACCCTACGGCGGTCCCCTGGCAGCAATACGGGATCCCACCAAGCTGGTGCCCGTCAAAGGCACAGCCCGACCAATGGTGCGAATCTTCGATACCACCGGCAGGGAAACGGGTCACATATTGGTAAGCGATTGGAATAAAAAAAAATAAAGGCTTCGTTTACATATTTGCTGTTGCAGTGGAACCATGGAAAGCTCATTGCCATGGGCTGGTCGGACACGGAGGAGCTGATTTGCGTGCAGGAGAATGCCAAAGTCTTTGTCTTTGACATGTTTGGGAAGGAAAAGGAGTCGTACACTATTGGAGACGAGGCGAGCGTCACAAAGATTGTGGAGGCCAAAGTATTTCAGTCAGCCGCTGGCACTGGCGTGGCTGTGATGACCACATCCGGGCGAATCTTTCTTAAGCAGAACAGCAGCAAGACGGAGCGAAAGCTTCCAGATATTCCCAGTAACAAGGCTCGAGAATTAACCTTAAAGCCCATATAATTCTTTTCACTTTCCTAAACGTATAGACTCCAGCATCAATTGCTCCTGCTGGGAGATCGTAACCGAAGGACGCAACAGCTACTGTCTGCTGGGACGAGAGCGTGAGGTCATCAAGCTATTTCCTGGCGAAACCGTCGGCACCATCACCGCCAATCTGTTCGAGAAGCCGCACGATCGGATCATCAAGATCTCCGTTTCGTACAACCATCAGCATCTGGCGCTCTACACGAACACGGGCCTCCTCTGGCTGGGCAGCGTGGACATGCGGCAAAAGTACTGCGAGTTCGACACAGGCCGCAAGGACATGCCCCTGCAGTTGGAGTGGATCATGAACAGCGACAACAGTGAGGCGGATGCCGTGGTCATCTCCTACCCGTCCTATCTGCTAATCGTGAATCGCAACGCCGATCGCAGCGACTTCCCCTACGATCCGATCATGTTTCTGGTGGCCGAAATGGACGGCGTCCGCATCATCACCCAGAGCTCGCACGAGATGATCCAGCGGCTGCCGAAATGCGTGGAGAACATCTTTGCGGTGAACAGCCAAGAGCCGGCCAGCTATCTCTTCGAGGCGCAGAAGAAGTTCGAGGAAAAGTCCTACAAGTCGGATGAATATCTGAGCATGTGCCGCGAAAGGATCGATTTGGCCGTCACCGAGTGCATTGAGGCGGCATCCTTTGAGTTCTGTACCGAAACGCAGAAGAGTCTGCTAAGAGTGAGTGCTCTGTAAAGGCCTCCAAAACCACTTACCCTAACTCTTGCTGTTTTCACAGACTGCAAACTTTGGCAAGGCCTTCATATTTGGCCACAATCCCGACGAGTATATGCGCATCATGCGCATACTGCGAGTCCTTAACACGCTGCGACACGAGAGGATTGCCATGCCGCTTACATTCAAACAGTAGGTTGTCCCCGGGTGGATAAGGGGCTGAAATAACTGATGACTCCCCCTTGCAGGTTTTCGCACCTCAATCCGGAGGTCATCTTGAGTCGCCTGGTATTCCGCAAGCACTATGCCGTCGCCATACAAGTGGCCAAGCATCTGAATCTGCCCGAATCCTGGATACTTGAGCACTGGGCCTACCACAAAGTGATGAATGATCCCAGTGGGTAACACTCTAATCTCAGCGAGAAATCCCCCTCTCTAAAGAAGATTCCTTTACAGATGACGGCGAGGTGGCCCGCAAGATTACGGAAAAGTTCAAGAACCCCACCGTCGAAGGCATTTCGTTCTGCAACATTGCCGAGAAGGCGCATCAAGCAGGACGCGATGATCTGGCCATTAAGCTCTTGGAGCTGGAGCCGCGTGCCTCGCTGCATGTGCCGCTGCTGCTGAAGATGCGCAAGTTCGATAGAGCTGTGGCCAGTGCCACACAATCGGGCGACACCGAGCTGGTAACCAAAGTTCTTCTGGAAATGAAGATGCACATGATGCTGTCCAATTTGCATGTATGTAAACCCAATCCTTCTGAGGGAAATTCTTCTATAATCTGTGGATGTTCGTTCTCCCACAGATGACCATTCGCGATCATCCGCTGGCGTTGAACATGTACAAGAAAATCATGCGGGAGACGAACCGTGCGGGGCTCTATGGCATATATAACACGGAGGACGACCAGAAAGCCATCGCCGAGTTTCACTTTAAGAATGCTATCGAGAGTAAGGACCTGGAGTCGAATCTGTCGGTGATTGGAAACGCCTACACCCAAGCGCGATGCACTGTCGAGGCAGAGCTTTGTGCCGAGACGAGCCGACTTTTCAAGCTGCAGAAGACGCTGAGCACCAAGTACAACGCCAGCCTGAATGGCCTGTCCGTGCACGACACCATCGAGCAACTGCTGCTGATCGGTCAGCTCAAGGAGGCGGAGAAGATAAGGAGCGACTTTAAGGTGCCCGATCGCCGCTTCTGGTGGCTGCGCATACTCACCCTCGCCCAACAGCAGAAGTGGGACGACCTCGAGAAATTTTCCAAGAGCAAAAAGAGCCCTATTGGCTATGAACCCTTTGTTGAGGCCTGCTTGAAGCACGGCAATGCCAGGGAAGCGCGCAAATACATCCCGCGATGTCGCGACAATCGCAAGGTTCTCTGGTTTATACGAGCAAAGTGAGTTACTGCCATTACTATGCCATTGAAAATGGAAAGCCCTTATATTACATGCTTTGAATCTCCTATAGCTATTTGGAGGAGGCCATCGATTGCGCCTTCGAGCAGCGGGATCTGCACAGCCTCTATGAACTGCAGAAGAAAGAGAGCATTAGCAATGATCCCAATTTGCTGGGCAAGACCTGCAACTGCATTTCCATGCTGGAGACCCGATAGTAGCGGAGCGGCAACATTCCTAGTTATAAAATAAAATAAACAATTTGCTTTTAATAAACAATTACCACGCCAAGAGAATCGTATGTTTGCTGGCCACCCAACGAATGAGTAAATGTCCAAAGTTTATCCATGACTCTGGTACAATAGATATATGAATGATCTATAGGGGGGGTCCTATAAGTTGCCTCCAATTTTAAAGCAAATCCAAAAATTGTTCAATTAAGATTCGTTATCAAGGACATTTTTATTATACATATGTATATGTAGTTGTATGTATATGTATGTAATAGATCACATAAAGCAAAAAGAGAATATTTTACTAAATTGTTGTTGTTTTTTGTATTTTTTGTTGTTGTATGGTTGATGATTTTGATAATGATTATGCGTCTTCAGGGGGTTACTAATATGTAGTTTTCGAAATTCTGCAGTGCGCAAATTCTCTACTGCTGGGCGCATGGGATTAGTTTAGTTGATTGTATGCTGGATGTCGATGAATGTTTATCTTTAGGCTTCTGTTAATTCTCTACATATAATTACGATTTTAGGTAAATTACAATTACAATACATTATATAGTACATAGTAGTATATAGGTAGAGTATGAATACATTATCTATTCATTTATCTTGCGTTTCGTTATTTGTATTATTATTATGTGTGTTTCTGAAGAGCTATTTCTGATTTATCGTAGGTTGGTTTTTTTTTTTGCGTTTGCGTGTGGTTTTGTTTTGTTTTTGTTTTTCGTTAATTTTACATACATATATTAAATATATTTACGAACATAACGCAGTCTTATATAAGATGACATACACTTAAACATATGCATAGAAGTATAAAGAAATATACATATTCCATTTATTGTATTCATTAGAGGGTTTTGAGTTGATTTTCTCCGTTTCCTCCGAAAGTTAAGGATCGTGCCCTGGCAGCGAACGGGACCCCACTCTCCGCTTCGGTGTGCCGAAGACACCTTTTCGCATCCGTTACTCTTTCCGTTTCCGTTTCTATATAAAAGTAGTTTGGCTAAACTAGGGCGCCTCCGTTGGGAGCCGCTTAAGCGTGAGTTCTTATAGATATTGTATATTGATGTATGTATGTATTTATGTATGTATGTAATCGTGTCTGTGGCTACCCATGTGTGTGTTTTTATATTTAGTATCTATTAGGGACGCAGAACTATTTAGTTTGTTGTTTTTTTAAGACGCTGCGCGTCTGCGAAATGCGCTCTGAAAAATTTGTTTTGGCGGCTGACTAAATTGAGGTTTATCTCTATGTATATGTATTTTAGTATATATGTATATATTATGTATGTTAAAAATTTCATTTAATTTTTGTTTTGCTTTGTTCTGTTTGAGTGCTTAAGGAACCCGATGCTCAGGCTAGGAAGTTCGATTGAATTTTGAGGCATGCATGCAATACTTCTTCTTCTCCTCCTCCGCTTGACAATGAAATAATTTACATAAAATCGACATTACAATATAAATATATTCACACACATAAAACACACACTTACACACATATAATATGCATGTGCAATCGTATATATCGTAGATCTACTGTAGGGACGTTCGAAATCTATAGCTATACATACAAGAATTACAATTACAATACATGCACGGAAACGCACTCACAAAAAGCTACAATATATTATAAATTAGGTATACATTTACAATCTTTACACACTCGTATATACCCTATATATCGTATAATAATCCATAGCGTTATCTATAATTATAATACTATAACTACTGTAGAGTTATTGTGGTTCCTAAGCGAAAAACGGTTGCCATCACCAGACACGTGGACTTGTGGGCTCGTGGGCTCGTGGGGTTGCGTTCCCCTAAATTTGTAGCTAACTAATTTCTGTTTGAAATATTCGACATTCTTCATCTTGAATCGTTCCATTGGCTCACACGTAGAGTGGACAGCTTGGCAAGTTTCAAGGCTTTGCGATGTAGAATTTTCCTAATTTTTGCCCCCTCTGCCCCTCATAGATATATTCCTTCATGTGGTTCAGAGGGGTTTCTTTTTTCCCAGACAGTTGGTGCGCATTGTTTTTTGTTTTGTCGTGATTTTAGGTTCTTGATGCATGCATGAAATCAAAGAATTAATTTAACTACAGTAATGACTAGTTGAAGAACGATCTTCAAATGTATTTTCTAAATTTTGTGTGTACAATTCTCGGTATTTTTTTTTTTTTTTACGAATTTTTAGAATTTTCTAATGCAGCTTGTAGAGAAGCATTTCTTAGGTGGCCAATTTTATGTACAATTTTCCTTGTTAATATTTTTGAGATTAGTGTAATTTGTGTGTTATCTGCGAAATGCATGGAATTTTCTTTCGTTTTATAGATACTCGTATTTTGTGGGCTCTTTTCTTTTTAGTTTTCTTTGCCAAGTGGAAAACTTCTCTTATGATTCCCTTCCTTTACGGTGCGGCGAGTTTATCATAATTTCTCTCACTCTCCCTCTCACTCTACCTCTGCCTCTCCATCCTCCATCTCTTGATCCTCCACCTCAACTCCCCTCATTGACGAATCCTCTTGCTCTGGCATTCGTTAGTCAGTTTTTAGTTACTACTTCATCACAGCCAACTCTACGCGGCGCTCAGCTCTGCTCCGCTCCGCTCTCCAGCATCTCAATTGATCGTTTTCTTGAAGAGATTTTGATGTATATGCTCGTTCTGCAGCGCGCACATTTGGCCCACAGCAACGGCCCGCAGGCCACCGCCTGCCCCCACAGGTGCCACCACATCGGGCGCCTTAGGAGACGACGACGACGACGACGCAACGCTGTCGGCCGTGGCCGCTCGCAGGGTGGAGAAGAACTTCTCTTTGATGTCCATTGACGAATACTTGTGCTCAATGAAGGTTGGCGAGATTTGCATGGGCGTCATCCCACTGCTGCTGCTACTGCTTCGGCTGGAGGTGGCGCTGCTGGGGGCTGCCGATGGCCGGAGCGTAGCGGCTGCTGTGGGCCTCTTGGCGGTCGAGGCGACAGCGGCAGCAGCCACGACGGCACTGGACTTGGGGCCTTCGCTGGTCGTGTGGAGGTTGCTGTTGGTGCTTTTGTGGTTGTATGAAGAGCAGGAGTAAGAGGTTTCTGCAATAGGTAGAGAGAAAAGGAAAAGAAGTAACGAAAAACATAAAATCAAAAGAACACAAAACGAAAAGGGAACCACCAAACACCTTTGACAGAGAGGGGGAGGTACATTAAATGATAATGCAATTAACCAAAATATTGTACTAAAAATAAGAGTTCTTTCATAGACCAATCCAATTGGGGCGCTTAATATTGTATATTATATAATTAAAAATCAATTTGCTAATGCTTAAAACATAAATAATACTTGATTGTTGCCGAATACGAGTAGGAATAGGCGTAAGACAATGAAATTATTGAGTTCATAATACGAGTATTGCGCATCTGCTGTTTGCATTTTATTTCAATTGTCCTTGGCGCTTCGTCTAGGAGGGAGTGCTTCTAGGCGCTATCTTCTAAATTAATTAAATTAAATTACAAATTAAAAGGAGATCAGCAATTGTAATTAGTTTAATACAAGCTTGAAAGTCATTGTTACAGATAATCATCATAATAAATCATTACTAAATCTCTCTCTCTAAGAATTAAATATACAGAAATAAAATATTGCACAAACAATGAGATTTGTTGTGTAGATTCGACTCTCCATTGTCGCTCCTTTAAAGATTCGTGGGATTCTTGTGGTTCCAAGAACTAAGGTTTACATTTTAAATTAAAACACAACTTATGTTCCTGGTGGTCTCTAAGCATGTAAGCAGTCTACGAAATGTTTCCAATGGTGTTTTGGTGAGTGACTTGTGGCCCACTCAGATCTTGGCGGCCCCTTAAGCTTAATATCATAGGTGTCAGAGGTTAACTAAGGGATAAACTACGATTCAAACGATTGCAACGATCTTGAGAATGTTTCAGGGGGTCTGGTTTCCCTTCCCCATTGTTTTCGTATACGAAGCATGTCAATGCGCCGGTGGAGGTTGCAGCTGTGGCGGCTGTGGCAGCTCGGGCGGCTCCAGCGTCAGTTGGCGATGCATCAGTAGCTGCTTTAGTATAGGCTACGTCTCGTCGTTGGCGGCGCCAGCGCCGACAACTTCAATGGCCGCCACCGTGACAGTGGAGACAGCATTGGCTGCCGCTGCTGCTGAGATCACATTCGCCTCTTCTGCTGCCTTGCTGCTGGCTTCTGCGATGGTGGCTATGACCGCCGCCACGCTCTCCGAGATCGCATCATTCAGCGGCGGCTCATCCGTCTCCATGGGCTCAATGCCGGATACGGGCTCCACCTTTCCCTTCTTTATCAGTGGCTGCTGCTGCTGCTGCTGTTGTTGTTGCTGTTGTGGCGTGGGCGAGCTGCTCTTGCTGCTGTTGCCGCTGACGCTGCTCGTGGGGCTGATGGGTAGCACATGATGCTGTTGCATCTGTTGCTGCAACTGCATATGCTGCTGCTGTTGATGCTGCTGTTGTGCCTGGATTGGCTGCAGTATCTGGCTAGGAGTGGCCGGCTCCTGCAGAAGCAGGATGCTGGTCTTCTGGTGCTTCTGCATGTTCGAGGTGAGCGAGGCTACCAGCTGCTGCTGCTGCTGATTGCTGTTGCTGCTGCTGCTGGTTGTTGCCGCCGTTATTGGTCGTAGTGGTGGTGGTGAAGGTCAGCGTCTGGGTGTTTTTGGTGGGCGAGGTGGCTGGCGTGAGTATGCCAAGGTTCACCAAGTTTGGCAACGGCATCTTGTTGGCGCTGTTGCTGCTGTTGATCACCGTCGGGCCATTGCTGTTGGTCTTGACCACTTGGTCAACGATTTTGTGCTGCTGGACTATGTCGACCACATTGGGCGCTACAGAGCCACCGTTGGCCACGTTGGTGGCCAGCTTGAGTATCTTACTGGCCGTTGCATTGGCAGCCATTAGGTTGCTAACAGTCTTGGGATTTGAGTTGTTCCCATTGCTGTTGTTGCTGCCGCTGTGGCTGTGGCTATTGGCTTTAATGGATACTAAACCGAGTGTGCTGCGCATTAAATTGTTGTTGTTGCTGTTACCTGTTGCTGAGCCGCCATTCTGGTGGTGGTTCTGATGATGATGCTGATGCTGCTGCTGTGGATGCGGCTGCTGCTGAGATGGAACATTGGTCAGTGTGACCACGTTCCCAGTGCTAAGCTGCTGCAACATATTGCCGCCACCAGCAACGAGTGCAGTGTTCTGGCTGCTGCCGCTGCTGTTGCCGTTGTTATTAATGTTGTTGATGTTGTTGTTGTTGTTGGACAGACTGCTGCCCCCATGACAGCTGCTGGCGCTGCTCGACATGTTGCTAATGCTCGACGGGCTCAGCGAGCCAAGCGACTGCGATGGGGAGTTGCTGCGCTGGATGGCGGGCGGAGTGGGATTGGAGCTGCTGTTGGTGCTGCCACCACTCACGGAAGAAGAAGCGGCAGCCGCAGCATTGGCCACCTGCTGGGTGGTCAGCACGCTCTCCGGCTGCGCGTTGTGGGTGTGGAGGGCATGATTCTTCAGGCCCTGCGCTGTTTTGTAGCTCTTCCCGCAGTGGCATTTGTAACCCTTTCGCACTCTGTAGTGGAGTAAAATAATGAGTTTCTAGAGCCCAAGTGGAGTCCCCTTTGGGAGAACTGCCACCTACCTTCCATCCTTTTTGTGGCCATTCTTCGAATGGTACTTGATGCCGTTGACGTTTTTGTAACGCTTTTTGCATCCGGGCACAGGGCAGGCGAAGGGTTTCTCATTGCCAGGCGTGCCATTGCTTCCGCCGCCGGAATGCCTATGTGCGAGGGGGTCAAAGTTCACAATCAAAATCTCTGGCTTGTTGAGAGGGTATTAAGAGATAGAACGAACCTGCTGCCATAGCGCATGATAAACTCGGAGCTAAACTCCTCGGTGGTCCAGGAATCATTGCTGTCCTCGGACTCCGTGACAACCATTTCATCCTCGTCCATTTCGCTGCCTAAAAGAGCACAAAGGCAGAGACACACATTATCAGTTATCAGTTCCACGTCCAGTCATGGGGTGGGTCATCACTCACCTGTGGGCGTGGTGCTGCGATTGGACGACGACATACTGTAGCTGTGGTGCTTGATGGCCAGCTTTCGCTTGAGCTCCACATTGCCACTGCCGTGGCTGCCGGCATTGCTGCCGCTATTGGTGGCAGGTGGGGCGGTGTTGTTGGCCAGGAAGGTGGTTGCCTCCTTGCGATTGTCCTCCGTGACGAAGCGCAGGACGTAGCTCAGTGGCAAGCATGCAGGCTGGGCCTGCTCCTTCTGTTCGACCACCTTAGGATCATAGTCTGAAGTGGGATGAAAAGCAAACAGAACAGAGAGGGGATCAGCTAATTGGAAATGACATTTCGAATATGAATCGGAGGAATGCGGGCGACCCGGCCGGCCAGCCGACAGAAAGAAACCTGCATCCAAATTTATTTCGGTTCGCCCATATTTATTAAATTGTTGTACTCGAGTACTCGTATTTGCAGTGAAACAAGTTCAAGCACTCGGTACACGGTACGGCGACACGACCGACACACAGACCCACAGCCACAGCAGCAGCAGCAGCAGCAATTTATTGTTAAAATGTTGAAATGAGCAAATAAGCGAGAGAGTGCACGTACATGTACAGAAACCCCAATTCCAATTTAATGCCGCTGCTGCTGACGCATATTGTGAGGGTTCTGTTCTGCCAACTGCAGGAGCGGGCGTCCGACGGTGTTTGTGGGGGGATTGGGGGTAAGCCGAGCACATGTCTGGCTGCTAGTCGCGGGACATTATCTTATCGTTTTAACAAGCATAAGCCCAAAGGTTTGCTTAATCAGAGAGTGCATAACAGCAGGGGCTCGCAGGTGCCCCTCCAACTGTCCCGCTCTCACGCAAACGGTCTGTCTGGTACTGTGTTTGGTTGTGTGCGCAACCTAACCTCCATATGCCCACCACTGCACGCACGCTTTATTTCTCAATTAAATTAAAGTTTGTGCGTAAACGGTGTCAGAGCGCATGATCATTCATCATGTGGCCTGGGGCACCCTGTACTGCTTCCCTTAAAAATCCTATCATTCCCGTTTCCGTTTCATGCCTCCCACAATCGATTATCTTGCGATAACGTTGCACTTTTGATCGATTCGCTTGAAATTGCGTGAAAATGCTCTCACTCAAATACTGTAGGCACGCTTTATTTCTCAACTAAATCATTTTTGTGCGTAAAGTGTGTCAGCACGACTATTCATCATATCACTGAAAGCCAGCCAGCCCCATGTGCTGTAACAGAGCGTTCACAGTGGTGGCTTAGGCTTACATGGCTGCCTAACAGCTGTTTATCCTTAACGATCGTTATATTGCAGCTCTGTCTACCACCACCCACATTCACACATTCCCACATTCCAGGCAATAGCCGTTCGATAACGTTGCATTTTAATTGATTCAATCGGAATCGGAATGACGTGCAAATACAAAACATATGCCGCAAATTGGTTATTATTCGAAACATATGCTAAATTTAGCAGCAGCAGAAGCTACTCCAACTCCACCCCCACCACGCTCTCCCCGTAGTGGCTAGCGTCACTCTTATCAGGGCAAGTGGTGATTAAAAACATTTGCGGCAATGATTGTATGTCGTCTACGTGCCTTGCAATCGATTGATGACACATACACACACAGAAAGCACACATCGATATTGAGTTTATTACGCATATACATAATTCCACGTACCGCCCATAGTTACTCAAAGATACATGTTAATATTTGATTGTCGCATATACAAAAAAAAACAATTTTGGCTGACAAAATTGCACTGTCCGCCCACCGCTCCGCTCCTCTCTTGCTGTTGAGGTTTCTGCTTCAAAGTGCCATTCGCACACGGCGTCATTTGCTACGGTCAAATCAGTTCAACATTTACTTTGCATTCATTATTGTTATTATTTTGTTGCTGTTTTTGTTGCTTTTGCTAGTTGATAACCTCAAGTATTCCCTCTCAGTCTCTCTGTGGTGGTGAGGTTCTCCCGCCTTCTCTCGCTGTAGGTGACACTCACTTGCTCTTGGACTTTTTAACAGACAGCTTTTAAACAAATAACATGATCTATCAACACACAGGCACACACAATATACAATATATATCTATATCTATATATATACTGCCTATATACCGAGTATACATATATCGATCGTATTTGTATTTAAAAAACAAAATAAACGCAGATGCCGCCGTTCCTGTTATTCACACTCCCGTTCGCTATCCCCCTCCCATGAGTCATGCACTTGTTGCAGAATTTCGAGCAGATAATAATTACAAACACACACACACACGAACAAGAGTACATATTGTTTTTGGAGGGACCACACCAGCAAAACAACAAAACAACAAAACTTTCCAATAGATTTGGAAGCAAGCATTCCTCGAAGCTTGATAAAAACAAAGACGCAAAAGTCGTTGACTTGACGAAGATTTCGGCAATTTATGCTGATTTTGAAAATGTGCAGACAGATGCAGACCGTATGCGATCATGTTATCTGCGTGACCCGGCGCCATGTCGAATTTCAAACAGAAGCAAAGTGAAGCGTAGCCGGGTGGCTATCGATATAATTACAGGCGTTTCGTTCCACACATCCCCACTCAAACCAGACACACACGTACAGTTATTTGGGACACAACAGGTGCCTGGCAACTGTGAAAAGGACAAACGTGAAGGTCTCCCGGATGGGGCTTGTTGCCAGGGCAACGCCAACGCCCAACGCTTGACGAAGCGTGCGGGCTTGATAAGACATTGACGGCAAAGCGAAACCCCACTCTGCCCACGCATCAAATGTCCTTCGAGATAATGAAATGATAGGCATTTATAATCCCAGCGAATGTTCGTATGTTCACGTAATGGAACCGAACCAAGTCACAGCGACATGGATAATGGATTGGGAGATGCGACTGACAGGGCACGGCAGGGCAGGCCAGGCCAGGCCAGGGGGAGAGTAGACGCCATGTGGGCGTATGCTCGAGCTTTATGTAATGCCCCGGGCCGGGGAGAGAGAGAAAGCCTGCCCGGGCAACGCCGAAGCCGCCATTGCTGTTGTATGTTGACCGTTATCACACTCACTCGCAGGCAACAACAAAACAGCTGCCAACGTAACTGTAACCGAGTCAGCTGAGCCCCGGGTAGCCACCCCTACACGAAGGCGTATATATACAGAATACATAGATGAAATACAAACAAACGATGCCCCGCACCACCATTTACCCACCCCCTGAGCATGATGCTACATAACGCACAGCACAGCACACACACAACCCCCAAGCCCCGTTGCGACCCACAATTGAAGCCAAGTGGCAACACTGGGCTTAATTTTATTGATTTTCTCTCTGCCCACCGCCCCACCCCCTTCGATACCCGCTCCAGAACCAGGTACCTGAGCGAGCGAGCACCCACGCTAAAATTAGAAATTGTTTATATCTAGGCCCTCAAACGGTGGGAAGGGGGAGGAGAGTGGGTTCCGACAGCCGGTACAAGTCCACACATACAAAATGATTAATTAGAGGGAGGCCTCTCAGGAGAATGGAGGACAGACGTAACCCAGTCACGTGTGTATTCTGAGGCCCAGCTAGAGCTTCGGACAGGAATTGATTACGCACAATTGTGCGTGGGCGCCCGACCAGGGAGTCTGTGAAAGTAGACCGCATCTCCGATTACTCGCCAAATGCATAGCTGTTGCTCGGATACACCTGCCGCTACAGAGACGCGCGCTCAAAACCCAAGCCAAGCCATGCGGACAGGTCACAGAAAAGGGCGCCTAACATGCCGGTTCCATAGTACAAGATGCTGTGCTGGCCTCACGCACACCAACAGACAGACAGACACACACGATCGCACTGATGTTGTTGTTGGTTTGTTGTTGCCTGAATGGATCACCGGCTTTTTGCTTGCTTTTGTTTTGCTTATGGTGCTCGCTCGCTCGCACCAACATGGTAACATGGTTGTATCCGATCATGGCCAGAGAAGCAAGCGCACAACAATCGAATGGCTGTACGCGCCGTGCTTGGGCGTGTGAGTAGAGTGTGTACTTGCCGGGGTGTGTGCGTGAGGTGAGGGCACGCACACCACACACAGGTAAGGTAAGCAATTGCCTGCCTCTTGTAAATGCTGCGTGCATATTTAGGCCTGGGTCAGCATCGATTTTCCCCCGAATAGAATCTGAGCTGTCATTAATAACTGGCTTTGGTTTGGGGCCCAATCGTCCAATAGAAACAACATTCACCACCACCCGCACACCTATTCACTCACTCGCACGCAAACGCACACACACACACACTCTCCCAAACATATACATGTATGCCGCACCGCACCGCGCTTCATATAAACCGTAACTACATATGCATATATACTATGTGGTATATAAATAAAATAAACAAAACACACCGACCGCTGCGATGCATCACGCGACTACTAAATGATTACTCCCGTGTCACAAGTGCTCACCTATATGGGTGTCCTCGATGTGTGATATTAGATCGCTTAAGCTTGGAAATGTGATGCCGCAGCCACTGTATTTACAGACGTTGATCAGGAACACGGCCATATCACTCACTCGAGTCGTACGACGATGACTGCGATGTAGTTATGTAAAATTGTTCGAATGAATACTGTTGTTGGTGGCGATGGTCGAGACTATCGAATATCTATCGATAGTCAGCAACGAAACATTCTAGCCTGTGGTTATAGCCTGTAGCCTCGCTTCGCACTCGCAATTTTGCTGTGTTTAATGATATCCAATGATTTTGGTTATTCTGCTAAATGCAGCAAAATTCACAGTGAGTGTGAGTTGTTGATGGGAACACGCGTGGCTGTGGCGCCCGGTCGATGCAGCCGATGATGCCTCTTGTTGTTGCTACTGCCGTCTCTAGCTGGCCTGGCTGCGTGGTGTGGTGTGTTTCGGTCTCACACACACACACACTCATGCATAAATGCTGCTGTTATGCAATTGAGGGCTGCAATGACACACAAACGGGGAGCGGGGCGGCCAGATTCGCAGTTAGATGTGTTCAAACGGGGACAGCGAAAAGCACAATTAGTCTACTTACAGCATTCTGTGTCGATTGTGAAGCCTTGTAGTTGCAGGAAATTAAAACATATTCGACGACACGACGACGCGTTAGAGGTGTAACAGCAAAGAGGGCACTAACGATAGTATCGATATTTTGCTGCTAGCCTCTACTATCGATGGTTTATGGACTATCATGATAGTATCAAGCTACAGTCGTTGCGCTTTTGATATGTTTGGATTGGCTGATATAAAATACGAAGACGAATTTGTAAACAAATCGACAGGTGGCATCCAATTTTTACAATGAACAAGTTCCTAAAAGGTTTCAGTGGTTGTTTAATAATTATTTGAGCCCGATACTATTACGATAGTATCGATTGTTTTTGTCAAAACATTGAACGTTGATATTCCTCGATTTTGATATTCCGTTTAATATTACTAGCTAGTTGGCCCTCTCAGCCCTAAACAAATAATTTTATCCGATAGATACATACATTTTTTACAAGATTGGCAAGTTTTCAGAAGTTCTTTTTATTGCATTGTTTACATAAAAAGGTTCAAACAAAAACGGCCAAAGCATAAAACGTAAATGTTGACTAAATGTGACGTCTGCGTTGCTGGTCAACCAAGTTTCTTCTATGCGTATGTACTTTTGTATACCTTATTTCCTTTTATTGATGTTATATGTTTTGTTCCAAACTCCATTGAAACATTATTTATGATTTTATCCTAGATTGAGATGTTTTTACCTATTAATGCATATGTTTGTGTTTTATATAAACTTTTATCCCGGTTCTGATACTTATTATTGGGACCCGTGAGCTGCAAAATTTCGTTAATATCTTTTAAACAGAGACTGAGTAGTTTCTGCATTAATTGGAGCCTAAAATTACAAACAATATCTCAAGAATATCCATTTTTGCCAAAGTTGCACAGCAATGCTGCTACTTCATTTCCCCATGTTGCTGAAATTTTTCCCATACAAATCAAATGTTCCTAACGGGAACGGCGGCTGTAGTTGTGTGCGTGGACGTGGTGAATAAGCCAGAAAGGGAACGGGCTGGGACCAGGGCTAGAGTGATGCATTCGATTAAATGGGCAAGGGCGAATTTAAGTAGACAAATAGATTCAATTACACTACAACATTGTGCTCTATGAACTACGGTTCATAGTAAAATAGTGCAAGCATTACTATCGATTACATGCTTTCCAATACCTCTTAAATTGACCCGCCAACCTATCGGAACTACGGAATATGATTTTCCTCGGTATTTTTGGGTATATTTTTGAGGGTCGATTAAATGAGCAACGGCGAAATTAAGTAGAAAAACTGATTATATTACACTACATATTGTGGTTGTTTAATTAGTTTATAATTAAATGGTACAAACCTATCTATCGACTACATACTTTCCAATACTTTTTAAACTGACCCGCCCGACTATCGGAACTATCGCAGACACTGCTTGTGCAACTCTGGTGCCCGGTTTGACAAGTTTGCCATTTTCAATTGCACAGCGTTTGACAATTTAGGCATCCTTTGTCAAGTAAATTAATAAATATATTCAGTGTCGAAGTGATAGCAGTGAACGTTGTAGTTTGTTGGTGATAATAACGCACGACCGGCATTGCTTTCCAGTATAGTATATCGCTTCCAGTACACCACGGTTGGGAACGGCGCAGGCTTGCATTTACCGAAAATTATTTACAATTGCAATTCCATTTATCCCCGGACGCCGCTATTAAGGTAATTGATTAACAACATTTAAAAAATAATGCAGCACACGGATGTCAGTGTATTCAAATAACGACATTTATTTATTAAAAACACCATAATTAAAAGATTATCGATACCATCGCGTGCGCGCGCACCTTTCCCGATCCACTTCCAGTCTATCACGCCGACTTCCACATTTTGGCCAGCACAGGGTAAAGTTATATTTCGCGTTCAATACGGTTCCACTGTTGTTAAGGGTTTGTTCGAAGTGAGTTCTGCGATGAAAATTCGACCTGGGAATGAAAACTGCTCAGCTGCTGCCGCCGCCAGCGGAGCACCCCCTCCGCTGGTTGAATAATCAGTGCTCGGAAAGAAAATGCCTTGGATTATCTGGCGAATGTGAATGCAAAAGTGCAATCAAGTGGAATAGTGTTAATTATCAGTGGAAATTGCATTTTTCTCGAAAACGTGTCGAAGTTGTCGCCATCTTGCGGCACACACACACACACATGTGACGAGAGGAATTGCCAGTGCTCAATAGTGTGCGTGTGTGTCGAGTCGTTGCGTCACTGAAAAAGTTGAACAGCCAAAGTATATTAGCCAAATTTGTAATCTAAAGAAAAAGGTTTTAATTTGTCAGAATTAAAATAAAGCGTGAATATTAACATCGACTCGCGTCAAAGTCCAGTGCAAAAGCAACTTTTTCCACCCATTACGTAACATTTTGCAGGCGGTAGCAGCAGCAGCAGCGGCGGCAGCGGCGTTTGCCCATTTTATTGCACAGAATCTAAAGGTTTATTTCCATCTATATCTTTTGCAGAGCTCCGTGCGCTAGCTTCAATTTTGTCGTAAGCCAATCAAAAAAAAAATCAACTGAAAATGTTCGTGTCGACAGTCTCTCGCATTGCCCCCGTTGCCAGGAGCGCCGTAAGTAGACGAAAATGTGATGTTACTGTTGTTGTACCCTTGTGCGAGATAAAGTTGGCTAAAATGTGTTGCATAATCAATAGCCTGCATCGATTTTTCTTTTTTTTTTTGATATCATAAAAATCTATGCTGGCAGCCGCTTACATGGGCCTTCGTGGTGAACTTGCTTCCAATCGTGGAAACACATACAGTTACATAAGTTGCAGGCGGATTTTGAGGTTATGTTGGGAGTGCGGCTGGAAACATAATTTAAATGCAATTAAGTTACAAGTAAAGGAATTTGAACAGTTTTGAATCGAAATGGAACCAATTCGGTGACCAATTAGTGCCGACAAAGGGCCTCACATGGCATTGTATAACCACTAACCGTGTACTATGTCGTGCGCGCGGCCCTAGTTGAGGTTAGAACAGGTGAAAGCTTTCCAATGGCGAGAGGAATAATTCAACTTTTGTTTATGACATTATTGATAATCTGAAAATCCATTCGACAGTGCAACAGCGTCAGTGGTCAGTGTCCATAGCAATACAACAACAAATGCAGTTGCCAAATTATCAAACCTCAATTACTCAACGATTGCATAACTTGGCAATGGCCGGCCAATGCCTATTAAATAAGATTTTTCTCTCACGGCGAAAGAGCACAAGAAACTGACGCGTCTCTCACAATAGGGGGGTGGAAAGCAAAATGGCAACTGGTTCTTATCGTTTGGATACACTTTTATCTCAAGCAAAGTACACAGCAACACTTATCCGCATTCTTCTTACATAATAATCAACTCTATGTGTCTTCCTTTTGCAGCTCCTCGCCAACTCCAAGCAGTACTTGCGACCATTGAGCAGCGCTGTCATCAGCCAGAGCCAGACCTTTGCCGCTCAGAACACAACCCCAGTTGCATTACTGCCACAAATCAGGTCATTCCAGACCTCGCCCGTCACCCGTGACATTGATTCGGCTGCCAAATTCATTGGAGCTGGTGCTGCAACAGTCGGTGTCGCTGGATCCGGTTCGTATTGGTTTTGTTGTTGCTCCCATTCCCATCCTCATCGCAATCCATCATGCGTGGTCCCCGCCCATGTCACGTCCCGGCTCATCACCTCCTTCAGTCAGTTACAAACTAGCATCTGGGGCACACACAACGAGTATCTGATTACTCTTACTTTGCCCCGGGAAGGTCTGAGAATTGGCCAAGCCTCCTTGTGTTGTACAACATGCAGTGCATCGAGAGGTGCCTGTGTGTCGGAGGCTTCATTTCCTAGCAGGAAACCTGTGTGATTGCAGGACGAAAGTACCAGAAATCCTGCGGCTTGGTGTTGCCATCGGCGCTTGCGTCTGACTGCCGCCTGGTCGCATTGAAAACTTTCGTGGCCGGCTTTTTTAGTGCAATGTGCTTGCTGCAGCGCCTCCGGGCAATGCAGAACTCAATTCAGACTAATCTGTGACTGACTGGCGTCAGCAAAAGAGGCGAAAGACGGAACACGATGGCTGGGCGGGCGAGCACCGCGACGGTTGTGTTTATACCTGAACAAAAGTCGTATAAGCACAGCCAGAGCTCTTCGGCTGTGGCCGAAGATCATCATTCATTTGGATTTTCCAAGTGAGACTAAGTTGACTAATTGAATATTGTCTTTCTCCCCCCCACATGTTTCCGACTCCTTGACAACAAACCAATGCAACAGGTGCTGGTATCGGAACAGTATTCGGTTCCCTCATCATTGGTTATGCCAGGAACCCATCCTTGAAACAGCAGCTGTTCTCCTACGCCATTCTGGGCTTCGCCCTGTCTGAGGCCATGGGTCTGTTCTGTCTTATGATGGCTTTCCTGCTGCTCTTCGCCTTCTAAGCGCGCATCGATCGAATGCTCGTCCTTGTTTCCTGCAATCGTGCGTGTGTGTGTGTGTGCTCGGCTGAGGGCAGACGCGGGCATCCGAGCGGCGGCAGAGGGGAAGTAACCAACAACCAACCAACAACACCATCGTTCGTTTTTTCGATTATTAATGATAAAAATGATTGATTGATTGATTGATAGCAACAAGAACATCCTGTACAACTATCTAATTATAAAATAACAACAACAACCACAACCACATAATATATGTAATTTTGTTTTTAAAAAACATCCGAAACGTAGTAATCGCCTAAGTAACATCGTCGTCGAGGAGAAGAACACACACATTGAGTTGAGTTAAGTTTAAAACGATATCAGCAGCGGCAGCAGAGCGCCAATAAACAATTCTGGAAGAACACAACACTGCGAGAACGCATTATAGAGATCAGATCGAATGGAATCGAAGACTAGACCGACAGACACGCATTCACGATCAAGATGTAACGAAATGTATAACGAACAGCTGAATCTGTATAAATTGAAATTAGATTTTAATTGAAGCAAGCTTCGGGCTAAGCGCCCCAGCCACACGCACGCACGCACACGGAGGAGGCCCAGCCAGGAGTCGCACCACTCGCCTTCATCCCGGTGGAAGAGGTGGTCCACGTCCGCTTCAAGTCTCTCTCTCTCTCTCCACCGAAGTTCTTGGACCACCATCATCCGTCAAAGCGGCAGGCTAAACGTGCCACCTCTGTCCACCCTCCAACATCAATCTGGGGTGGTGATGCGAGTGCGGGCGACCCTGGCGGGGCATTGTCCATGTGCGTGCGCGGTGCTGAGCGCTGTAGTTGTGCTCATTTTGCTATTTTATGTGGCGTGTACTGAGAACCAATTTCTTTTCAAGTGTATTTTGTATTCGAAAATCAATTTCCTTAATGTAACGCAGTTAATTTTTTTATTGCCACTCAATATTTATTTTAAATATGTACTAACAGTAGGATTTTATCAATGGCATGAGCAAACGAAAAAGAAGCACGGAGCCGAATTGTGAAATAAAGGAGATATGAATGTGTTAAAGGAAAAGTCATTGTTTTATATAAATTTTTGTTTGAAAAACCCAAAAAATATGAAAAAGGTGCAGAAGAGTCGGTTTGTAGCAAAATTCAAATTAGAATTTTCTGGCGGTACCGACAAAATGCAGCTCTGTGATGACTAGCCAATCGACAAGTCTATCGATAGGTGCGCATTCACAATATTACCCAGGCTATCGATAGCTAACTGTTTCAATATTAACCCATTATCGACCAGTCAGTATTTCGATATACGCACATATATTATGAAACTTGATTAGCACTGTTAATTTTAACGCAGTTCAGCTGAACGATATCGCAGTTTTCTTGTAAATAATGATTGATCTAAAATAAGAATTTAAAAGCCGTAACATTTTCCTCTGCTTACCTGAAGGTGTGTTCGGCCCCCCGCCCCGGGCCCCCCCCCCGGTCCGGCTGGGTGCGCCTGGGTGCGGCGTCGGGCGTGCCGCCCGCGTCGCGGCCCGGGCCCCCCCCGGGCTCCCAGGTGCGGGGGCCACCCGGTGGGCACGGCCCGAACCTCGGGTCGCGCCCCAGCCGCCCAGCGCCGGTGCGCGGCCCCCGAACGAAAAAAAACAACCCAAAAAAAAAAAAAAACCGGCACGCCCCGGCCCCCGGTGGGGTGTCCGCCCGGCGTGGCGGACTACGGCCCCGGGTCAAAAAAAAAGCCAAACCCGCCCACTCAGTTTGGCGCGACAAAACCCCCCCCCCCCCCCATCCTCAGTTAGTTGCGGCAGGCCACTCAGGTTGCTACATCAGCCCTCAAAACAAACGAAAAACCAATTCAAGCGGCAAAAATGTAGAGCCCACACACAGCCGTGTGTGAATAGTACACACACTTTACGCAACCTGGAAACAAACTCAGAACAAACTCAAAACGGTTTCGGAAATAAGATTCATAAATTTGGTCGTGCCTGCGCCACACCCTGCAATTCTCGGCTTGCTTCCATCTCGTCTGTCGAACTGTCAAAAAGCCGCGTCTCAGCCCACGACCCGACGTCTCAGCACCCAGCCGAATGGTCCCAGCCCCCAGCCGAAGACCTGGGGGTGCTGGGACAGAAACCTCAGCTGCGCCCCTTTCGTTGTATGAACTGGCACATCTATATACTGTATGGTTAGTGGTTCGGCTGTTTAAATAGAGGGGGTTGCGGGGGTTAAGATCGTTTTGTTTTCCTCTCTACATTTACACACTGCGCGCCTGCCTCATGGATTTTGCCAAGAAGATTCTCGGAAAATATGGTTGGAAAGAGGGCGAGGGGCTGGGCAAGAACAGCACTGGCATTGCGGCTCCATTGAAAGCCAGCCTTAAGTTCGACAACGCCGGCTTGGGCGTGGATCGAGCAAAAGAATTCAACGACCACTGGTGGGAGAGGTGTTTCAATGAAGCAGCCAACAATGTGGATGTTCAGGTGCAGCAGAACGGCCAGGTCAGCACGGGTCGCAAGCACGGCGAGGAGGCGGTCGAGATCTCCACCAAGGGATTCTCTGCCCGCAAGCTGAGGAAAGCCAAGGAGCAGCAGGCCATCGCTGGTGCGGCCACCTACGACAACTTTCTGCAGACAGCGCTGCTCACCCAAGACGGTGGAGAGGTGGACAATACGGAACGCATCAAGGTGGAGGACATAGCCGTCTCCAAAGTCACTGTCCTCACGGACGAGGAGCTTTTCAAGGCCTGCGGCGGACGAACGGCGCACAAGGGCGCTCGCCATGGCCTGAAATTGAGTGGGAAACTGGCGCGGATAGAGCAGCAGGAGCGTGAGATGTTGGAGATGCTGCAGAGCAAGCAAAAGTCTCGCTTAGATGAGGAACCAACCAAGAAAAAGAAGAAAAGGGCCAAAGCAGAGAAGGACCAGGACTTGCAGGTAGAAGCTGAAGAGGAGTCTGTGGAGGAGCCTGTAAAGTCAAAGAAAAAGAAGCGCAAGACCGAGGAAGCCGATGAAGAAGCTGAAGCACCAGTCAAGAGCAAAAGTAAGAAAAAGAAGCACAGGCAGAAGGAGGATCAGGAATAGGTTAAGAGATGTTTCATTCGATTGGAACTCGTTTCATAGTCTGTTTAGTGCACATAAATTGTATGTATTTAGTTATAATAAATCTATACACGATCTGGGAAGGCATTTAAAAGCTAAGTTTGGTCACCTAATTATAAGCCAAAGTGCTGTCACTTTCTGCCCTTGGCCTTGATGCGTCGCGATTTGCCCATCCGCTTGTTGACCGACGCTCCAGCCTTGGCGCCCCGTTGCCGGCGCGTGGACTTCTCTGCGTCTAAGCCAGCCGACGAGGACTTTGTGTTGCGCTTGAGACCCTTCTTCTTGCCACCGAAGCCGAACTTCTTGTTGCGGGCCTTGCGGTTTTCGGCGGTCTTCTTCTGCTTGGACTCGAGCGCCTTGGCGTCCTCGAGGAAGTCCAGGTTCTTCAGCTTGCCCTTGCGGAACTTTTTCAGCTTGTCCAGCATGTCCTTCTTCTCGGCCTCGCGTTGGACCTTGGTCTGCTTGGCCAGCATCTTGCCCATCTTGCGCTGCTCCCTGATCTGTTTGATGCGCTCCGACTTGGCCTGGCCCTGCTGCTTGGCCATCAGATTGGATCGCACCTTTTGCATGTGCTCGTCGCTCTTGGCCATTTCGGCGAAGTAGTCGTCCGGACGGCGTGTCTTGAGGCCCAGCTCCTGGAGGCGCTGGATTCCCTCCAGCACGGCGCTCTGGGCCTGGCGATGGAAGAGCATCTCGCGTTTGAAATCGTTCAGCACAGGATCCTCTTCGGGGCGGACGTATGGTAGCTTGGCGTTGCCTTTGAACGCATTGGCGCGCTTCTGTTCGTGCTTCTCCAGTTGCACGGCCAGCTCTGGGGCCAAGGGCGCCAGACTGTTGACCATGTCTAGGCGCTCCACCCACGGCAGTTGCAGCCGAATGGCCTCTGTTTTGGCTAGCAGTTTTGTCTGCAAATGGATGATTACACATATGCGGCAAGGAAAGGAGAGGAGTGTGTGTACTTACAATATCATTAACTCTGTCGCGTTTTCCGTTGAACTCCACATTGAGGCCGGGTTTTAGTTCGCCACGCTCAAAGGCAGCTTGCAGCTACTCAAAACAAATTGAATTTTAGCATGTTCCTTGGGTTAAACTTCCATTCCATGACTTACCTCAGCATCGGAATTGTCATCGGAGTCGTATTCCGAGCCACTCTCTTCCATTTCAAAGTCGGACATGCTTAAATTATGATAAAATTTCAGAGCTATAAAAAATAAATATCAACACGTGCGACGATCAGTGTGACCACTGTGATTTATCGATAAATTGCATTTATACCGAAATATACCGTGTCATTATCAAAATATACCGTAAATATACTCACGGACACGACAAGATGCGTTGATATTCCATGATTTCTATATTCGGTTTAATATTACTAGCAAGCTAAAACTCTCAGCACTGAAAATATATCTCTCTACGATTAATTAATCAATTTCCTTAAATATTTGCCAATCAAAAGTACCCATATTCATTAGAATTATTCATAAATAAGGTTTAATCAAAAATCAATCTGGTGGAAAATTTAATGTTTTACATGGTAACTACATATTTATGTAAAATTCGACAGAGACCCTAGCGAGGAATGTGTTTCAGAAAAAAATTTGATATTCGATTTAATATTACTAACTAGCTACGACTTTAACAACTGAAAATATCATTTTATCAGATAGATGAATCCATTTTCTACAATCTGACTTATTTTAAGAACGTCATTACTTATAAAAAAAATGTGTAAACAAAGGTCTGCATTTCGATACATTCATGTCTATCGATGCACGCTTTGTTTTTGAACACTTGCCGCTTTTACTGTTGGTTTTTGTTTTCTTGAAAAATGGCTGCAAATCTTGCAAATATTTATGCCGAATTAATGCGCAGGTATGGGGAGGACTTTACCATCACCTATGGACCTCCGCCCACGTACCTGAGCAGCATAGCTGGCGCCAGTGAGGTCGGCAAAAAGATCGTGCTCGTTTTCAAGGAGGATCGCAATGCAGCGGCGGCCAAAATCAAAACGACGCCGAAAAAATTGCCCAATAAAATAGAGGGAACCTCCGAGCTGGATCTGACAGGCAGTCCCTTGAAGGACGATTGCATTGTGGATGTCATTGCTGACCTATCGCTGGAGCTGCAACTGGTGCATTCGAGTCCGTGGAAGCTGGAGGAGGAGTTTCAGCGCGGTGTGTCCGTGGACAAGGCGCGCGCCATCATCTGCACCGAGCACTTTCAGCACGCCGATGGCTTGGGGTCCGTCTGGTTTCTGTGCGATGGCAGCGACCATGGCCAGACCCAATTGCTGCAGTACGAGTTCAACAAGACGCACTTCTCGCGCGGTATACTCAGCTACCAGGGTGTGCTGCCCGCCTTTATGGTCACTTCGCAGTCCCTGGTGCGTCAGCACTCGACAGCAGGCGGGGCGCCTATGGAGACGGCCATTGAGAACAGATATCAGGTCAATCCCCACATGACGCTGCGCTGCTCGTGGACGACGTCGGCTCCACAGCCCCTGCTGGTCAACCTGCGGGACTGCGAGGTGGCTCTCTCGCACATATTTCGCGTGGGCGATTGCAGTCCTTTGACGCAGGACTTTATGAACCAGCTGCGCATCCTGGTCTACATTCGCGAGGACATCGTCAGCTACCACAAGGACGAGCAGCAGGGTCTTGGCCGGGACCCCACCTATCGCTGTGGCCCCGGCATCGATATGGACGAGCTGCGCGAGTCGATTAACAAGACCATGACGGATGTGTCTGGCCTGATGGATCACTACAGCAGTGGCGCGGCCGAGTTCGACATTGAGGAGGTGGTGCATCGCGCCAAGGGCAGGCGGCTAACGGATCTCACCGACAAGCTCTGGGAGCTGCTCAAAAGTAAGCCAATCTCTCTTTAATTCGAGGATCAAAGTCATGTTTTGTGTGCTCCAGGTTGTGGTTCCTACAAGGATCTGAAGATGGCCTTCAATATGCTCTTCCAGTGCGCCGCTCGCTCCAACATTGTGGTGCGTATAGCCAAATGAAATCCAGGATCATCTCTTTCACGTAATTATCTTTCAAAGAATACGCCAACCAACAAGAACCGCCTGGCGGAGATCATCACAGAGCTGGCCAATCGCCGCCTAGCCATTCCCTGCCTGAGTGGCGCCGAGGCGCTGGAACTGCTGCTGGAAGTGGGCCTGGAGAAGGTGTATAAAGACTACGAGTTTATCTACACGGAGAGCAAGATGTGCAGCACCAATCTGCTGAAGGCAACCTTAGAGACGGCGGATGGGTCGCCCCAGAACGTGCCGCAGCTCCGCAAATCACTGCACAACGCCGTCCGAGGAGATGCCACGCAAGGAGCAGCAGGCATGCGTAAGACCCTGCTGCATCTCGACGCGGACAGCCGGACGACGGGCGTCAAGTATGGGGACGAGGATGTGGCCGGCATCAAAAACAGCCACTTTGATGAGCACGAGAGCATGGAGCGGATCTCGAAGCTGTTCCAAATCCACTGCACCATGGAGCATCTGCTGATGATACACATTCACCTGAATCTGCCCAATGGTGAGCAGAGTCTTCGAGCAATCCTAAATCCGAAAATTAAATGTTCGTTTGTCTCTAGTCTATAGCGATGTGTGCTCTGAGCTTTTGAAGAAGACACCCAAGCTGGTGGAGGCCATCGATGACCAGCTTAGTGACGTGATGGACATCCACCTCGCGGCCCATTACGTTCGCGAGCATCTAGATGCCAAGGAGCCCTACTCGCGGCATATCACAATGAAGTCGCTGAACAAATTCCGCGAACTGCAGACCACCTTCTACTTTAATTCGGAGAATATTTGTCCGCCCGAGCTGGCTCAGTGCTTTCAGTGCGATGGTTGGTAGAAGCAGCAAAAGTTACTTGCCTCTGATATTTATTTATGCGCACCTCCATTTCAGATAAAGAACTGGTCAAGGAACGTACCTACCATGCCTGGCTTTATCGCAAGATTCGCACACTGAAATGAGACAGACGCCTGCAATAACACTCCCCTTTCCACTTCCTTTACCTCGGCTGTAACCCTCTGAGCATTTTTTGTAAATCGTAAATTATATCCTATATGTATACCGCTCGATCCCTTCCGGACTCAATTGTTTGCAGCTTGTAGTACACGCTGCTTTCAACGCTTTCCCCCACCCAAAAACCGAAATCATGTTAAGCGAACTCGTACAAGTTTTAAGCTGACCCAGAGGCTGCACTGCTGCACTGCTGCACTGCTGCATTGCTGCATTGACTGGCCCCAGAAAATCTTGAAAACCAAAATCCTCTTCCGCCCTTTTGGCTGGCCCTATTCTCGTATCCATTTTGTTGGCCATATTCTAAACAAGCGACCATCCATCCATCCATATCCATCCATCCATTCACTAAAGTAATGCAGCAAATTAACCGAAAGCCTGCTGTGCCTGTGTGTATGTGCTGGTGCTGTGCCCAATGGCCAAATGCAACGAAGGCGTCTCGGCGCCGCTGAGAATTCCCGATATGTTACAATCCAATTAGCTGGGCGCGCCACTTGCCCGGCCAACTTCCCACAGCCGATTGATTTCCATGTGTCAGACGTGCGTGAAACGCGCTTCGGTTCGGACGTGTTTCGTTTCTCTCAAGCAGAAAGTCGAGCAGCAATCGGTGCGAGCGTCCAAGGACTACTCTCTGGCCAGAGGGCAGTGATAACAGAGACGCGAGTGTCCTGCGCAGGGATTAATCACAGTGGGAATCAGTGGAGAGCGGACCCCACCCCGCACATGTGAATTGAGTGGCAGCCAAATCGAATTGAGTCTGTTCTAAATGCCAATTATCGCGAGTGCCTAATCCAATTAACAAAATGGTGTGTATGCCACAACAGGAGATCCTGTTTAAGCCAATGGAACTGGGGGACTTGCGCCCGCTAAATGTGGCTTATAATTTGATAAAAGGACATTCAATATGCTAGGCTAAGGAGCAGCCTCTCAAGTGCAGTGACAGAGAGGCCATAAGGCTGGGCCCCCAGCTGTTTTTGTGGCCAAGAGGGAGAGGGAAGCCTTAGACTTAATTCCTGTTGGTCTAGTCACCACTGAACCCTTTCTGTTGAAGGGGAACTCTACACGAGGGATGCTTCCTGCCTTCCTTCATTTCTAGTATATCCTTTCTCACTTGCTCTGTGTGTCTTGCCATCCAATCTCTCGCGTCTTAGGGTCTTGAGTTCTTCTTCAAGTTTGGCTATGCCTTCCTAACCATAACGCTCATCATCATGATCTGGATGTCGCTGGCCCGCGCCTCGATGTTCGACCGTGAGATGCAGGAGACCCGCTACCCGCCCTGCACCTACAATGTGATGTGCACCTGCTCCAAGTCCTCCACAGATCTGGGCATTGTGCACTGCAAGAATGTGCCCTTTCCAGCACTGCCACGCATGGTGAACCAGTCAAAGGTGAGTGTAGCCGCACGAACGGGGGATATGGATGTGCTAAACGATTCCTCTGGGGCATAGGTTTTCATGCTGCACATGGAGAACACGGGACTGCGCGAGATCGAGCCCTACTTCCTGCAGTCGACGGGCATGTATCGGCTGAAGGTGTCCGGCAATCATCTGACGGAGATACCCGATGACGCCTTCACGGGTCTGGAGCGTTCGCTATGGGAGCTCATACTGCCGCAGAACGATCTGGTGGAGATACCCTCAAAGTCGCTGCGGCACCTGCAGAAGCTGCGGCACCTGGACCTCGGCTACAACCACATAACGCACATCCACCACGACTCGTTCCGCGGGCTGGAGGACTCGCTGCAGACGCTGATCCTGCGGCAGAACTGCATCTCCATGTTGCAAACGCACAGCTTCACGGGGCTGCTCATACTGGAGACCCTCGACCTGAGTGGCAACAATCTCTTCGAAATCGATCCGAATGTGTTTGTGGACGGAATGCCGCGCCTCACCCGCCTCCTGCTCACCGACAACATTCTCTCGGAGATCCCCTACGACGCCCTGGGGCCGCTCAAGAGCCTTCGCACCCTGGACATCTCCCACAATGTGATCTGGTCGCTGAGTGGCAACGAGACGTACGAGATCAAGGCCAGCACCAAGTTGAATCTGGATAATCTGCATCTGGAGTACAATCATATCGAAGTGCTGCCCCCGAACTCCTTCAAATACTTTGACACAGTCAATCGGACCTTCTTCGATGGCAATCCCATACACACTCTCAAGGTGGGTGCCCACGATGACCCCATCCCTTGCCCCTTGCCCCTTCCATCTGCTAATCTCTACTTCTCTCTGCCTCTGGCAGGAGGATGCCTTCAAACCGGCCAAGATAAGGGAGATCTACATGCGGTACTGCGGCCTTACGAACATCTCGCCACAGGCCTTTGACAGCCTGGTGAACAGCCTGCAGATCCTCGATCTGTCCGGCAACAATCTGACCAAGCTGCACCACAAGCTCTTCAACAATTTCGATGTCTTGAGGTGAGCCAGACCCAAAGCCCACGCCCCACCCCAAACCCACAACCTCCTCACAGAGAGAGAGAGAGAGGCCTAATCCGATTGTCAGCGGCCTGGCCTCTAGGGCTTCCCCCCAATGTGTGCTAAGTGTGTGACCCGTTTCCGATTGCGATTGCGACTGCACACCGAAGAAGAATGTGAGGAAGAGGGAAAAGCCAGCGTAATAACCAAAGCCACTCAACCCCCTGCTCACCGCTTCCTCCTTCGTAACAGGGTCATCAGCATGCGGGACAACAAGATCAAGATACAGAAGCCCACCGAGACATTCAACGCCGTGCACTACACGCTGCTCAAGCTGGACCTCAGCGGGGACCGCAATGATCCGACCAATCTGCAGACCCTGCGCAAGTAAGTACACCCCCGCACCGACCTGCTCCGCCCACACACACCACACCCCTCCTTACCCCAGAACGACGTTTTGTATTTATTTTCAAAAAGTATGACCAGAATGCGGAACATGCGCTCGCTCTCCATCTCCCGGCTGGGCTCTTCGTCCGTGGGACCCGACGACTTCAAGGACTTTGGCGTGGAGCTGGAGGATCTGCAGATAACGAGGGCCAGTCTCTCGGGCATACAGTCGCATGCCTTCAAGCATGTGAGGGGTCTGAAGCGGCTGGACTTCAGTGAGAACGGAATATCGAGCATTGAGAACGATGCGTTCCATGAGGTTGGTTTGGTCCTTGGATAATGCCTTTGAGAACGATTGGCTAACTCTTCTTTCTCCCATAGATTGGTCATTCGCTGATCTCTCTGAAGATGTCGCATGGCTACTCGGGCAGCGCCCTGCCGGCTGAGCCCCTGCGTCACCTCACTTCGCTGCAGGAGCTGGACTTTAGCAACAATCACATCAGCAGCATGAGCGACACGAGCTTCCACTTCTTGAAGAACCTGCGAATGCTGGAGCTGCACGACAACCGCATCGAACAGGTCCTGAAGGGCACCTTCCAGGGCGACATTCACACCAAGCTGGAGGAGATCTCGCTGCGCTTCAACCACCTCACATCCATCTCGCAGCACACATTCTTCGATCTGGAGGCGCTGCGTAAGCTGCAGCTGGATGACAACAAGATCGACAAGGTCGAGCGTCGGGCCTTTATGAATCTGGACGAATTGGAGTACTTGAGTCTGAGGGGAAACAAACTGAACAACCTGGCCGACGAGTCCTTCCAGAATCTGCCCAAACTGGAGATCCTGGACATGGCCTTCAATCAGCTGCCGAACTTTAACTTCGACTACTTCGACCAGGTCGGCACGCTGTCCAATTTGAATGTGAATGTCAGCCACAATCAGATCAAGCAGCTCATGTACAACTCCTCATGGAGCGGACGGAACGAACATGGTGGGAGCGAACCCCCTAAACATCCTTCCGGCCTGGCTCTTTCTCAACGCTCTTTCGCTTTTCCTTGCAGGCAGCATGTACCACTCGAACATCAAGATCTTGGATCTGTCCCACAACAATGTCTCCATCATTCATCCGGGCTACTTCCGTCCCGCTGAGATCTCGCTGACCCACCTCCACCTGGGCTATAACTCCCTGATGGTGGGTAGCTAGCTGTAACCCTTCCCAAAAACTCTCTTTAAGGTCTCCTTCTGTTTGCAGAACACCACTCGTGATGTGTTTGGCAACATGCCCAACCTGCAGTGGCTGGATCTCAGCTACAACTGGATCCACGAGCTCGACTTTGACGCCTTCAAGAACACCAAGCAGCTGCAGCTGATCTATTTCGCCCACAACTACCTGAGCGACATACCGCAGGATATCTTCAAGCCGGTGCAGGGACTGCGCATCGTTGACTTCTCGCACAATCATCTGCGCGGACTGCCCGACAATCTCTTCTATAATGGAGGAATGGAAAAGTGAGTGGCGAGGAGGTGCTTTGCCAACCAGATTGGCTAAATTTCTTTTTGTTTTACAGACTGGATGTCTCGCACAACATGCTCCTGAAGATCCCCTCTTCATCGCTGTCCAGCTTGGCTGCACTGACGCTCTGCGAGCTGCACTTGTCCAACAACTTCATCTCCACCATCCACAGCATGGATCTGTCCAACAAGTTCAGAGTAAGACAATCCCGTACCCTTACTCTCAGCCATGTAACGTGGCTCCTTGCAGTCCCTTCGGTACCTGGACATCTCCTACAACTACCTGCTGCGCATCGACGATGCCGTCTTTGCCACGATGCCCAGGCTGGCCGTGCTCGATCTCTCGCACAATCGCGATCTCAAAGTAATGGACAAATCCTTCATGGGCCTGGAAAACTCTCTGATCAAGCTGGGCATGGAGAATGTCTCCTTGAGCACTGTTCCCAGAGATCCGGCTGAAGTATCTGCGCGAGTTCCGCCTGGGCTACAACGAGCTGCCCTCGATTCCGCAGGAGTTGGCCCACAATATGAGCAACCTGCGTATGCTGGACCTCTCCAACAATGATCTGACAAATGTGCCACTGATGACACAAATGCTGCCGCATCTGAGGTGCGCTTAGCCATTCATTGGGATGCTTCTATTCGACCTCTGATCGTTGTTTGCTCTATTACACAGACGCCTCATGCTCTCTGGCAACCCGATCACCTCGCTAAACAACAACAGCTTCGATGGCGTCAACGAGGACCTGGAGATGCTGGATATATCCAACTTTCGGCTGCATTACTTCGAATACGGCTGCCTGGACTCCCTGCCCCATCTGCGATCGCTCAAGCTGACGGCCTACTCCCATCTGGAGCACTTCAACATTCCCCATTTGCTGCGCCATCACTACAACATTCGGGAGCTGTGGATCGAGGCGCCACAGCCATTCACACGCATCGTGAAAAAGGGCTCGGGTCCCACCCAGGAGATGCAGACTCTGCAGCTGGGCAACCCCACCGATCTGCAGCGCGAAATGGAGGGACATCTGCCCTCGAAGCTGACGAACCTCACGTTCAGTGGCCCGCAGTTTGGCAGTTTGAACGAACACATCTTGAAAGTACGTCCTTGATAGATG